CTGCTGGTTCCCGAATTTGGTTGATTCCTGAATTTGGTTTCGATTCCTGCTGGTTCCCGAATTTGGTTTCGATTCCTGAATTTGGTTTTCGCTGAATTTCCGATTCCTGCTGGTTCCCGAATTTGGCGATTCCTGCTGGTTCCCGAATTTGGCTCCGATTCCTGCTGGTTCCCGAATTTGGTTTTCGATTCCTGCTGGTTCCCGAATTAGGTTTCGATTCCTGCTGGTTCCGAATTTGGCTCGATTCCTGCTGGTTCCCGAATTTGGTTTCGATTCCTGCTGGTTCCCGAATTAGGTTTCGATTCCTGCTGGTTCCCGAATTTGGTTTCGATTCCTGCTGGTTCCCGAATTAGGTTTCGATTCCTGCTGGTTCCCGAATTTGGTTTCGATTCCTGCTGGTTCCGAATTTGGCTCCGATTCCTGCTGGTTCCCGAATTCGATTCCTGCAATTTGGTTTCGATTCCTGCTGGTTTCCGAATTTTTCGATTCCTGCTGGTTCCGAATTCGATTCCTGCTGGTTCCCGAATTCGATTCCTGCTGGTTCCCGAATTCCTGGTTCCCGAATTTGGTTTCGATTCCTGCTGGTTCCCGAATTTGGTTTCGATTCCTGCTGGTTCCGAATTTGGTTCGATTCCTGCTGGTTCCGAATTAGGTTTCGATTCCTGCTGGTTCCCGATTAGGTTTCGATTCCTGCTGGTTCCCGATTTGGTTTCGATTCTGCTGGTTCCCGATCGATTCCTGCTGGTTCCCGAATTTGGTTTCGATTCCTGCTGGTTTCGAATTCGATTCCTGCTGGTTCCCGAATTTGGTTTCGATTCCTGCTGGTTCCCGAATTTGGTTTCGATTCCTGCCGAATTTTGGTTTCGATTTAATTTGGGTTTCGATTCCTGCTGGTTCCCGAATTGGTTTCGATTCTGCTGTTTCCGAATTCGATTCTGCTGGTTCCGAATTTGTTTCGATTCCTGCTGGTTCCGAATTTGGTTTCGATTCCTGCTGGTTCCCGAATTTGGTTTCGATTCCTGCTGGTTTCCGAATTTGGCTCGATTCCTGCTGGTTCCCGAATTTGGCTCCGATTCCTGCTGGTTCCCGATTTGGTTTCGATTCCTGCTGGTTCCGAATTTGGTTTCGATTCCTGCTGGTTCCCGAATTAGGTTCGATTCCTGCTGGTTCCGAATTTGGTTTCGATTCCTGCTGGTTCCGATTAGGTTTCGATTCCTGCTGGTTCCCGAATTTGGTTTCGATTCCTGCTGGTTCCCGAATTGGTTTCGATTCCTGCTGGTTCCCGAATTTTTCGTTTGAATTTGGTTTCGATTCCTGCTGGTTCCGAATTTGGTTTCGATTCCTGCTGGTTCCCGAATTTGGTTTCGATTCCTGCTGGTTTCCGAATTTGGTTTCGATTCCTGCTGGTTTCCGAATTTGGTTTCATTCTGCCCCGATTCGATTCTGCTGGTTCCCGAATTTGGCTCCGATTCCTGCTGGTTCCCGAATCGAATTCCTGCTGGTTCCCGAATTCGATTCCTGCTGGTTCCCGAATTAGGTTTCGATCCTGCTGGTTTTCCGAATTCGATTCCTGCTGGTTCCGAATTTTTCGATCCTGCTGGTTCCGAATTTGGTTTCGATTCTGCTGGTTTCCGAATTAGGTTTCGATTCCTGCTGGTTTCCCGAATTTGGTTTCGATTCCTGCTGGTTCCCGAATTTGGTTTCGATTCCTGCTGTTCCCGAATTTGGCTCCGATTCCTGCTGGTTCCCGAATTTGGTTTGATTCCTGCTGGTTCCGAATTAGGTTTCGATTCCTGCTGGTTCCGAATTAGGTTTCGATTCCTGGTTCCGAATTTGGTTTCGATTCTGCTGTTTCCGAATTGGTTTCGATTCCTGCTGGTTTCCGAATTGGTTATTCCTGCTGGTTCCGAATTTGGTTTCGATTCCTGCTGGTTCCGAATTTGTTTCGATTCCTGCTGAATTTGGATGCTGGTTCCCGAATTTGGCTCCGATTCCTGCTGGTTCCGAATTTGGTTCCGATTCCTGCTGGTTCCGAATTTGGTTCGATTCCTGCTGGTTTCCGAATTTGGTTTCGATTCCTGCTGGTTCCCGAATTTGGTTTCGATTCCTGCTGGTTCCGAATTGGTTTCGATTCCTGCTGGTTCCCGATTTGGTTTCGATTCCTGCTGGTTTCCGAATTTGGTTTCGATTCCTGCTGGTTCCCGAATTTGGTTTCGATTTCTGCTGGTTCCGAATTTGGTTTCGATTCCTGCTGGTTCCCGAATTTGGCTCCGATTCTGCTGGGATTTGGTTTCGATTCCTGCTGGTTCCCGATTCCTGCTGGTTCCCGAATTTGGTTTGATTCCTGCTGTTCCCGAATTTGGTTTCGATTCTGCTGGTTCCGAATTTGGTTCGATTCCTGCTGGTTTCCGAATTTGGTCGATTCCTGCTGGTTCCCGAATTAGGTTTCGATTCCTGCTGGTTCCCGAATTTGGTTTCGATTCCTGCTGAAATTTGGTTTCGATTCCTGCTGGTTCCCGAATTGGTTCGATTCCTGCTGGTTCCCGAATTTGGTTTCGATTCCTGCTGGTTCCCGAATTTGGTTTCGATTCCTGCTGGTTCCGAATTTGGGTTTCGATTCCTGCTGGAATTAGGTTTCGATCCTGCTGGTTCCCGAATTAGGGTTTCGATTCCTGCTGGTTCCCGAATTTGTCGATTCCTGCTGGTTCCGAATTTGGTTTTCGATTCCTGCTGGTTTCCGAATTAGGTTTCGATTCTGCTGGTTTCCCGATTCCTGCTGGTTCCGAATTTGGTTTCGATTCCTGCTGGTTCCCTCCGATTCGCTTTGGTTTCGATTCCTGCTGGTTCCGAATTGGTTTCGATTCCTGCTGGTTCCCGAATTTGGCTCCGATTCCTGCTGGTTCCCGAATTAGGTCCGATTCCTGCTGGTTCCGATTTGGCGATTCCTGCTGGTTCCCGAATTTGGCTCCGATTCCTGCTGGTTTCCGAATTTGGTTTTCCTTCTGGTTCCGAATTTGGTTTCGATTCCTGCTGGTTCCCCGAATTAGTTTCGATTTCCTGCTGGTTCCGAATTAGGTTTCGATTCCTGCTGGTTTCCGAATTAGGTTTCGATTCCTGCTGGTTCCCGAATTGGTTTCGATTCTGCTGGTTCCCGAATTTGGCTGATTCCTGCTGGTTCCCGATTTGATTCCTGCTGGTTCGAATTTGGCTCCGATTCCTGCTGGTTCCCGAATTTGGCTCCGATTCCTGCTGGTTCCCGAATTTGGCTCCGATTCCTGCTGGTTCCCGAATTTGGCTCCGATTCCTGTTGGTTCCCGAATTATTCCTGAATTTGGCTCCGATTCCTGCTGGTTCCCGAATTTGGCTCCGATTCCTGTTGGTTCCGATTTGTTTCGATTCCTGCTGGTTCCCGAATTAGGTTTCGATTCCTGCTGGTTCCCGAATTTGTTTCGATTCCTGCTGGTTCCCGATTTGGCTCCGATTCCTGCTGGTTCCTCCGATTCCTGCTGGTTCCCGAATTTGCTCCGATTCCTGCTGGTCCCGAATTTGGCCGATTCCTGCTGGTTCCCGAATTGGCTCCGATTCCTGCTGGTTCCCGAATTTCGATTCCTGAATTTGCTCCGGTTGGTTCCCGATTTGGCTCCGATTCCTGCTGGTTCCCGAATTTGGCTCCGATTCCTGTTGGTTCCGAATTTGGCTCCGATTCTGGTTCCCGAATTTGGCTCCGATTCCTGTTGGTTCCCGAATTTGGCTCGATTCCTGTTGGTTCCCGAATTTGGCTCCGATTCCTGCTGGTTCCCGAATTTGGCTCCGATTCCTGCTGGTTCCCGAATTTGGCTCCGATTCCTGCTGGTTCCCGAATTTGGCTCCGATGCAAAACTATGGCCGAGGAGTCAGTTTCGCAGCCCACATCGCGGATAGAACATCGTGTATTATTGTCTATCTAATATTTTCATTTTCTGTTTTGTGTTTAGCTCTTCATTCGCTTGGTAATTGGTATATTATTTATTGTTATTATTTATCAATTTACTCCAAAGACCTCGTTATCTCCCTCCTCAAATTGCTTCATTATCTCCAACTAGGGTAATTACCCTAGTTTGGAAACCACTAGCTTAGTGCACAAGATCGTTAGGGTAATATACATATTTGGTGTTTTGTTAAATAATGTCAAATGCTCTCTCTGCCTGTTTGTCTCCCTTTTCTCTTCTCTCCTCTCTCTCCCTCCTCTCTCCTCTCTCCTCTCTCCTCTCTCCTCTCTCCCTCTCTCCTTCTCTCATGATCTTTCACAGTGTTTCTTGCTACAAAGACTGATAACGTTTTTAACTTCTGACATACATCAAAATTAATTAGTTTTTCTGATTTAAAGATACTGCATTGTTCTTTCTGAATGTATCCCTCTGTACACAGAAATAACGATTCTATTTTTAACAGATAAGGGAAAATATTTTCGGCTTTGTAGTGAGGGTTAAGGTTGTTATTTCTCTTCATATAGGTACTACATCTTTCGTCCCTTGAAAAATATTGCTAAAAGAAGCCATATATTTCGGTTTATCAGAGTATTCTTAAAATCTTTTTGTAAAAAGGGCCTCATATTATTGGTACGTTTATAAACTACATTCTCTCTCTCCTCCCTCCTTCCCTCTCTCTCTCTCTCTCTCTCTCTCTCTCTCTCTCTCTCTCTCTCTCTCTCTCTCTCTCTCCCTCCTCTCCCTCCCCCCTCCTTCCCTCCCTCTCCCCCTCCCTCCTCCCTCTCCCCTCTCCTCTCCTCCTCTCCCTCCGTCTACCCACCTCCCCCTCCCTCTACCCCCCTCCCTCTCCTCTACCCTCTACCTCCTCCTTCTCCCTCTCTCCTCCCTCTCCTCTACCCCCTCCCTCTCCCCTCCTCCTCCCTCTCTCCTCTCCCTCCTCTCTCCCCCTCCCTCCCCTCTCCCCCTCCCTCCCTCCTCCCTCTCTCTCTCTCCCTCCCTCCCTCTCTCAAACCCAAGAAATATCTCCCGCAGCTGGACGCCCTTTTGCCGGCTGTGGAGGCGCTGGACACCGCCGGCGACGCCCTGGGACTGAGGGCGCTGCTGCAGGCCATGGCGGCGGCGGCTGACTTCGGGGCGAGACGGACTGCGGGCATGAAGGCCAGGTGAGTGGCGAGTGTGTTGTTGTTTTTTTTTTTTTTTTTTGGGGGGGGGGGTTGTTGCAGGTTTGTCATTGTTGTTAGTTTTATTTTTGCTGGTTTTGTTATTTTTTGTTGTTGTTTTTGTTATTGTGTTGTTTTTTTTTTTTGCTGGTTTTGTTATTTTTTGTTGTTGCTGTTTTGTTATTGTCATTGTTGTTTGTTTTATTTTTGCTGGTTTTGTTATTTTTTGTTGTTGTTTTGTTATTGTTAGTTCTTTGTTGCGTTTGGTTTTGTTATTATTGTTGTTGCAGTTTTGTCATTGTTGTTAGTTTTATTTTTGCTGATTTTGTTATTTTTGTTGTTGTTTTGTTAGTTGTTGTTAGTTCTTTGTTGTTCCAGGTTTGGTTTGGTTATTATTGTTGTTGTTGCAGTTTTGTTACTGTTAGGGTTGTTGCAGTGCTGTTATTATTATGATTAAATCCATTTCTATTTTTGTTGTAGTATTGATAGTTATTATTGTGATTATTAATGTTTTTATTTTTTGCTGTAGTATTGTTATTGTTATAATTTTTTGTTGTTTTGTTATTGTTGCTATTATCATTATTATTATTATCATGCTATTACTATTGTTATTATTATTATTACTTTTTATTATTTTAATCGTAACTGTTATTGTTGTCATCACCATCTTCATCGTGATCAATGATTTTTGCCTCTCTCCTCTCGTCTCCTTCCCTCCCCTCTTCTCTCCTCTCCTTTCTTTCCTCTCCTCCCCTCCCCTCCCCTCCCTTCTCCTTTTCTACCTCTCCCTCTTCTCTTCTCCCCTCTTTTCTCTCTCCTCTTCTTCTTCTCCTCTCCTCTCATATCCTCCCCTCTCTTCCCCTACCCTACTCTCCTTTCCTCTCCTCTCCTCTCCTCTCCTCTTCTCCCCTCCCCTCCCTCCAGCCCCCTCTCCTCTCTCCTTCCCCTCCCTCCTTCCTCTCCTCTCTCTCCTCTCCTCTCCTCTCTCTCCTCTATTCATATTCATCATCACATCATACCAATCTTTAGCACCAATATGCCAGTGATAACAAATGGACAATAAAACAATCATAACGTTGTGAGTCACCGGCCTCTAATTTACTCAAGCCGATTCAGCTGTTGTTGTTGTGGTCAGATTCTAAATGGGAGTTGAATCAGGCGGGAAACATTACTCATGCAGTATGTAGACCCTTGATCCTTTCCTCTGCTAATGGCGAGTGACAAGCAGATGCGACAGCGGTGTTTGGGGAGGACTCGTGGAAGAGCCATCTATTGGTCGGAGTTTCAATTGTTTTGGGGGAGATAGGGACATCTAGTGGCGGGATTTAGAGGTCGCGGGAAGTGCCATCTATGAGTCGGGATTTTAATTATTTTGTATGGATAGAGACAGCTGTTGGAAAGAGCCATCTATGAGTCGGATTTTTCATTATTTTTAATGGATAGAGAAAGCTGTTGGAAAGAGCCATCTATGAGTCGGATTTTTCATTATTTTTAATGGATAGAGAAAGCTGTTGGAAAGAGCCATCTATGAGTCGGATTTTTTATTATTTTGCGTGGATAGATATATCTACTGGGAGAGCAGCAGCATTACCTCGAGAGTTCATTGAATGTGCCATGTATTATTGTTTTTTTATTATTTTGTATAGATAGAGAGCTCTCTTGGTGACTGTTCGATTATTATGAATAGTTCAATACCAAATAAATTTGCTATTATTGAATCGAGACACCTAATAGCGGCATTAGTACAAGGCCGGTGGTCCGCCTACGCCAGCCGTATCCGATTTCACGCGTTTAGGCGTACGTCACACATTTACATATGCACATATAAGCGTTATTTCCGGTTAATAAGTCCGAACGTAACCTAATCTAATTTAATTGAGAGTGGTATCATCATCTGGTGTCGAGACGCCGCCATCTTGTTTCTTCCACCACGCATGCGCAGAACACTAACTGGGAGCTTTTCTGCCGTACTCGTAGTCACTTCCTTGGAAATAACTCTCGAGAATCCCACTGAGTCTTTTCTTTTCGCATTTTTTATTTATTTTTTTTATTTTTTTTTTTTTTTTATTTATTACAGTTTTGTTTTGAAATGTCGTTTCGTATATGATAATCAGTTTTCGTGGCGATAATGCGACTATCGATTTTGTTAATTATCGATTGCGTATTACCTGTGAAGTAGAATATTTAAAATTAACCCAATATTAGTAGTTCTATCCATATCAGTACGGCAGTGCAGTGTTCCATCTTCCATAAATATACCTCGGTAATCTAAATAAATAAACCTCGGTACAGCCGACTTAAGAATCTTAATTTCTAAACCAAATTTCCAACGAGTGCCCACGGGGAGTGTGTAAAACGTCGCCATCCTTACTCTAGTGTGAGTAGGAATGCCTCTGGAGCCACTGAGGTCCTGGCTGTTCCACTTCTGTTCATTGGGTCGTGTGGGAGGGTTGGTTCAGCACCGGTTTTCCTGCTTCATGCCTGGAGTGGCCGAGGTTCGAGTCCCGGTCTGGGACTCATGCACACACACACACACACATATATGTGTGTATGTGTGTGTGTCACACACATACACACACACATACATATATATATGTGTGTGTGTAATATACTATACATGCTCACACGCAGATAATTAAACACACTTTCACACATAAGATTACACACAGTACAAAATACACAGACAGACACACAGACAGACGGACACCTATCGCTTCCACCCAAGATAGCTTAAGGCCGTGTCACACTAGCACTTTTTCCGTCAATTTTTTGACAATTTTATTTACCATAAATACAAACATTCTCGACTATAGCTCTTGATTTGACTTTGCTTGGCTGAGAAAAAAAGTTGACGGAAAGGTTTTCAGACGGAAACGATCATTGTCGCCTGACTGGAAAAAAGACAATTCGCTCAAAAATGGACAAAATTTCAGAAAATTGTCAAAAAATTGACGGAAAAGGAGCTAGTGTGACAGCACCTTTAGACTGATAACATATCTCAAGAGTGACGGCGTCCTCCTTCTTCTCTGTAATCGGGGAAGGGATGTTTGATCAGTGGCATGACGGGAATTTGAGGGAACGGGAAGTAGAAGATAATAGATTTCTCTCTCTCGCGCGCGCTTCCTTGCTCTCTCTCTCTCGCTTTCTTGCTCTCTCTCTCTCTCTCTCTCTCTCTCTCTCCTCTCTCCTCTCTCTCTCTCTCTTCTCTCTGTCTGTCTCTCTCTCTCTTCTCTCTCTCTCTCTCTCTCTTCTCTCTCTCTCTCTCTCTCTCTCTCTCTCTCTCTCTCTCTCTATCTCTCTCTCTCTCTCTCTCTCTCTCTCTCCTCTCTCTCTCTCTCTCTCTCTCTCTCTCTCTCTCTCTCTCTCTCTCTCTCTCTCTCTCTCTCTCTCTCTCTCTGCTCTCTCTCTCTCTCTCTCTCTCTCTCTCTCTCTATTTCTCACTTCTCTCTCTCTCTCTTTTATTCTCTTCTCATCTCTCTCTCTCTCTTTTATTCTCACATTCTCTCTCTCTCTTTATTCTCTCACTCTCTCTTCTTCTCTCTCTCTTTTCTTCTCCTTCTCCTCTTTCTCTTCCTCTCTCTCTTCTTCTTCAATCTCTCTCTCTCTTCCCCTCTTCTCTCTCTCTTCTCTCCTCCTCTCTCTCTCTCTCTCTCCTCTCTCTCTCTCCTCTCTCTCTCTCTCTCTCTCTCTCTCTCTCTCTCTCTCTTCTCTCTCTCTCTCTCTCTCTCTCTCTCTCTTCTATCTATGTATATATCTGTCTCTTTTTTCTCTTTCTCTTTCTGTCTTTCTTTTATCCTCATACTTTCTCTCCCTCTACTTTTCCATCTCCCTCTCAGTCCCAAATCTTCCTTGAATTCACCCCACCCCCCTCCTTAAAATCCCTCCCCTTCCTCGCTTCCTTTTCTCCTTCCCTCCTTTCCCATTCCCTTTTTTCTCTGACCCCCGCCCCCCCCCTCCCCCTCTCCATTCCCCTTTTCTTGGCCCCTCCCCCCCTCCTCCTTCTCCATTCCCCTTTTCTCTGACCCCTCCCCTCCTCCTCTCTCTCACTATTCCCCCTTTTCTCTGACCCTCAGGCCCCTCCTCCCCTCTCCCATTCCCCTATTTTCTGAGACCCCCCCACTCCCCTCTCTCTCTCCGCATTCCCCTTTTCTCTGACCCCCGCCCCCCTACCCTCCTCTCCCTTCCCTCTTTTCTCTGACAGCGCCCGCCCCCCTCCGCCCTCTCATCTCTATTCCGCCTTTTCTCTGACCCGCCCGCCCCCCTCCCTCTCCCATTCCGCCTTTTCTCCTGACCCCCGCCCCCCGTCCTCCCTCTCCATTCACTTTTCTTTGAGCCTCCAACTCCTCCGATCATCCCTCTCACGCATTCCCCGGCTTTCTGCTGACCCCCGCCCCCCTCTCTCTCTCCCACTTCCATATTTTTTCTGACCCCCTCCCCCCTCTCTCTCTATTCCCTTTTTCTCTGACCCCCGCGTCGCTCCTCCTCTTCCGCATTCCCCTTTTCTATGACCCCGCCCCCCCTCCTCCCTCTCGCCTTCCCTTTTTTCTGCCCCCTCCCCCCTGCTCCTAATTCCCCTTTCTTTCTCTGTTGACCCTTGCGTCCCCTCCTCCCTCTCCCTTCCCCTTTTCTATGACTCCGCCGCCCTCACTCCTCCTCCCATTCCCGCTTTTCTTGACCCCGCGTCCGCCTCCTCCTCTGCCATTCCTTTTTTATGGACCCCCGCCCCCCTCCTCCCTCTCCATTCCCTTTTTCTCTGACCCCCGGTCCGCTCCTTCCCTCTCCATTCCCTGCTTTTCTCTGATCGCTCATCGCCCCCTCCTCCTCTGCCGCATTCCTTTTTCTGACCCCCGCCCCGCTCCTCCTCTCCCATTCCCTTTTCTCTGACCCCGCCCCCAGCCTCCTCCCTCTCACGGTCCATTCCCTTTTCTCTGCCGCCCGCCCATTCTCTCTCTCCTCTCAATTCCCATTCTTCTCAGAACCCACGCCCCCCCTCCTCCCTCTCTCA